GGACTAGAGGATTATAAAAAGGAAGAGATCTTTCACATCCCAACATCAGACTCGTTGCAGATTTGTCTTGTTAAGACTGGGGATACTGTACCAATGATCTCAGCCCTGGAAATACGGCCAATGGGAAAGGATTCTTATCCCAATACGTTTGGTTCTTCTCTGAAGCTTTCTTTTCGAAGATATTATACCAATTCAACTTCAACTTTTTATCTAAGGTATCAACTGAAACGGCCAATTATCTCTTTATTTCTGCTCTGTTTTGCTTTGTTTCTTTTGGCTCGGTTTCCACTGCTAAAACGATGTTGTTCCCATCCTCAGGTTCCCGGACGATGTCTATGATCGCCAATGGTTTCCGTACACTCAGAACGAGTGGACCTCAATTTCCACCACTAGAAATGTGGTTATTTCTAACATATACAAGCCACCGAACGCCACACTTCAAACTGCAGCCACGCCCACTAATGTCAGTGCGCCATTGACGATTGAATGGAGTTCGGATAATCCTGATGACCAATATTACTTTTACCCACACTTTGCTGAGATCCAAGACTTGCAGGCCAATGAAACCAGAGAATTCAATATGCTTTTGAATGGAAAACTTTATTATGGCCCTCTAATTCCACAAAAATTAGCGTTATCTTCTATCGAAAGCAACACATCAAGAACTTGCGATGGAGGGGAATGTAGTATACAGCTGATAAGGACCAACAGATCAACTCTGCCACCTCTACTTAATGCTTTTGAAGTCTACACAGTTATTCAGTTTCCGCAGTCCCAAACGGATGAAAACGAAGGTACGTGACTTTCTTTTCCAGGTTATGCATATAAGGTCTATGCTTTCTGTGCATTCTAACATGATCAAATATATTTATGGAAGTCACGGCTGTAAAAAACATCAAAGCCACCTATGGATTGAGTAGAATCGATTGGCAAGGTGATCCATGCGTCCCTCGACAATATATGTGGGACAATTTAACCTGCAGCAACAAGGATATGTCCACACCACCAAGAATCACTACTTTGTAAGTCATAAGTTCTCACTAGCACACATAAGGATCTATAAGTAATCATGTTCATTAACACTTTGAATGTGGTTTTGGAAACTTCACCAGAAACCTGTCTTCAAGTGGCTTAACTGGAACCATAGCAGCTGCCATTCAAAATCTTACGCTACTAGAAAAGCTGAAAGTATGTCTATTGTTGATCAAAGGCGAGAAAATTGTTATGCAAATGGAAAGTAATTTCATATTTAACTCCCTCTTGCAAACTGTAGGGACTTGTCGAATAATAGTTTGACCGGAGAACTGCCCAAGTTTCTAGGAAATATGAAATCATTGTTGGTCATGTAAGTTTTTCTCAGGCAGATCTTCAAATGTTTTCATATTCATGTTCATGTATGTATCAAACATGTTTTCTAATGCTTTTCCAAATTCCACCTCGGATCTTGTTCAAATTTTTCAATGCAGAAACTTAAGTGGGAATGATCTTAATGGTACAATTCCTCAATCTCTACGAAGGAAAGGACTCGAGCTATCGTAAGAAACTCCCACATATCTTCTGAAATTTTCTCTGTTCCCTTTTGAAACAACACTTGTCTTCTTATAGTATTCAAGGAAATCCAAGGCTTTTACCCTCCTCTGGTTCACCCACAAGACGCAAGAGCATTCTAGTTCCAATTGTTGCATCAGTTGGTTTTGCAGCCATC